CTCCCGATGAAAGTGATTCTTGTCCCGAAGGCACAAAGCAGCCGCTGTGCCCCGCAAAAATACTTGTTTATTTTCAAGGTCGGCTCTGAGGCTGAATCAAAGCACAAGAGCTGCCACAACCTACAGACACTCCTGGGCAAAACCAAGAGAAAACCCCCAAATTAGTAAAACCCGCATTTTGAGCTGTCAAGTTTTTGGCTTCTGTGCAGCTACGGTCAAAACTATAAAACCTGCTTATCACCTGATTTAGAGATAACGTGGTTACAGATAGCAGGAATCTAGAAAAAAAAAAAAGCCTTTCAAATGCCAAAAGCGTTCATGGGCTCCGTCACAAACTGCACGAAATTACTTTGCAGCTTCAGTTATTTCAATAAATAAGAAAACAGGATGCTCTGTCAGCCAGGCCAAGAAGGATACGTGCATCTTCTACCAAAAGCAAGGAGGAGAAAAAACAAACATTAAGATGCAGCATCAGCCCCCAGATTCACACTGTCATCATTTTGGCCTTAACTTAATGCACTCGTGGACAACAAGCTCTACCTACAGCACAGTAAGACTGCCACATAGTGGAATTGCTATAGCTGATTTTAAAGCCTGTTTTTTACCTGCAATAATTATTGTCCATGCAAATGAACTGCTGACCTAAATTAAGTTACAAGCTGGTTCTTTCAAAGGTTTCCTGGAGTGCAAGGCTGAGGCTCGCGGGGCCACACGTGCAAGTCGCTGTGAGCCCTTGTGCAAGTCACACCTGCAAAGGGGGTTGGTGTTTGCTTAACTTGGCCGTTGCAAATGCGCCGTGGGAGCTCTCCCACCAGCAAGCAGGAGCCACACGGAGCGGGGTGGCCGGAGGCTCGTCCTTGCCATTGCTGGATGTGGAGCAGGAGGCGCAGGATCAGGCGAGCAAGCACCTTTTTCTCCTTTAGATTGCTTCATATGCAAGGAAAACGCCCCTTTGAGATTTTCCTGCCAAAAAACTTAAGGTCTCGATGTTCTCTTTCAGCTGCTTTCTCTCATTTCACAATCAAGTTCATTCTGCCATGAACTTAGTAGAAAAAAGAAAACACTGTGAAGATGTGTGCAAAAGCCAGAAGGGGACTGAGGAGCAGTCTGCTCCCTTCCCACCAAGTCCCCACGGGTCGACTCCGCTCCCACCTGCTTTGAGTACAGAAATGTACTCTAGAGAAAGACTGAATGTGGGTTTTCATCGCCAACGTGGGCTTTCAACATCTCCAGCATGGACTTTTGTCATCTCCAAAGTGGGCTTCCATCTCGCCTGTCCTTGCCACGCAGTCCACAGCTATCAGATAAAGAGCCTGTCTACTTATTTGAACATTTTGCTAATGCAGGAGTGCAGATGCGATGTTCAAAGCACAGTCAAAAAGAAGGATGGATCTGCTGAATCAGTTGAAGAGCCTGTGAGGAAACCACAGCAAGTTCTGCTAGCTCAAGGTATGTTGGCCAGAGCAAGGCACCAGCCTAAGGCAACAGCTCCCTGCCAGGGCTGCACAAATCTCTCTGCTGGGATGCACTAAACTGGGTTCCAAGTCATCCTTTTGGACGCTACGAGATCCAAGTCATCCGAAAGTCATCTTGCAAGATGTGGGCACCCTCCCTGCCTGCTCTTCTGCAGCCAGAAAATCAAGGGGTGGCCGCTGCCGGCCGCTTCGTGCAGCGGCTCCGTTCTCCAGGCATTGACCGTTCCCCCTTGACGCCTTCCCCAGCGTTGGACCTCTCACCAGCTGACTTGCTGACAGCACGCAGGAACAGTCGTCAGCCTAAGCCTTTCCAGTAGGAAAAACATATGGAAAACATTTAAATTTCATCAGATATTCTTCATCCCCAGTTGTCTCCGTTCCATGCTTTTTTCCTCCATTTGTTTGCTTATATGTTGCCATTTCAACCTCTAACACAAACTTTTTTTTCAGTTAAACGTTGGCTGTTGAAACCACGTTGTCAGAGGACCCCTCTCTGGAACAGATCCCGTTCTTCACAACCACCTCATCTCTCTAAATTGCTTCTCAGTTTAATTTACGAAGACATTCATTATATTACAGATTACAGGAGGACATGAACTTTGTTTCACATTTGCTTTGCTCTGTGTTATGGTGCAAAGGTCTCTCCTTCAGTTATCCAACGTTGCTGCACATTTCCAAGATGCTACCAGCCACTGTGCCCAGATCACAAGCTCGTCTCTCCCCAGTTAATGAGATTTTTCTGACCACTTTTTTTTGCACTTAGACACTTTTACACTTTATACTTAGAATAGCAATAAGAGAACACCAAGAGAATTCTAAAAGGACTTATTTATGGTAAACAGTATGCTTACTTCAACTCTATGCTTCTCCAAAGCTTGTTGAGCTGAGACAAAGTCTTAGGAATGGGGAATTTACGTGATTTCTCAAACTTCGGTTTCTGAACCTTGACTAACTACAAATTTCACTCCTTTCTGCTCCCAGCACATGGATAGGTGACCTCTTCACACTGCCATTTGCTTCTATTCCCGAGCAATATAACAGGCTCATAACCGTATTTCTTTCCAAATCCAGTGGGCCACCGTCACCTAAAGATTTTTAGGAAAAAATGTTTTTCACTGTGGAAAGCTGGAGTTAACCACCACTAGCGAGCAAAGCCAGGGAGGAAAGGACAGGCTGAGGGCAGAAATTGCTAGGTTCAACTTTGAAACATTCCAGGAATGGTAGAATTTTAAAAGATCACATTGTAGACTAATTACTGGTCTTGTCTTCATGTCCAGTCCTACGGAAAGGAAAGAATGCACAGTGCTTTGTAGAGCCATTCAAAACAATAGTAGTTTGCAGGACTAACAGCTTCTGTTTCTCTCTCCTTTAGGACAAAAGGACCCGAAGAAACTCATGGTAGCGAGGTGCCGAGCAACCTTCCTGGGATGTGTTTCTTCAGGAAGAAAAGGGATCACTACCTTATTTTATGGATGTCACTGAAGTAGGCTTTGAAGTTCTTCGGAAGCACATCCTAAACCTGGCATGGGAAACCACAGCAATCACACCTGCTTGACAGATGATTCCTTTAAGTACAACCTGTACGGAGCTGTGTACAGTGTGGTCTTCATCCTTGGTTTGATTACTAACTGCGCCTCCCTCTTTGTTTTCTGCTGCCGGATGAAAATGCGAAGCGAAACGGCCATATTCATGACCAACCTGGCTGTGTCAGACTTGCTCTTTGTGTTCACCTTGCCTTTCAAAATTTTTTATAATTTCAACAGGCATTGGCCTTTTGGGGACAGCCTCTGCAAGATTTCCGGCACAGCATTTCTCACCAACATCTACGGGAGCATGCTGTTCCTCACCTGCATCAGCGTCGACCGATTCCTCGCCATCGTCTACCCGTTCCGCTCTCGCACCATTCGGACGAGGAGGAATTCAGCCATAGTATGTGCTGGTGTCTGGATACTGGTCCTCAGCGGGGGAATTTCAGCCTCACTGTTCTCCACAACCAACGTATCTAACACCAGCACAACTTGCTTTGAAGGTTTCTCCAAACGCATCTGGAAAACCTACCTGTCCAAGATCACTATATTTATTGAAGTGGTAGGATTCATAATTCCTTTGCTGCTCAACCTTACGTGCTCTTCTTTAGTACTCAGGACTCTTCGGAAACCTGCCACCTTGTCTCAGATTGGGACAAACAAGGAGAAAGTACTGAAAATGATCATTGTGCATGTGGCCATTTTTGTGGTGTGCTTCGTGCCTTACAACTCCATACTCTTCCTCTATGCCCTGGTGCGCTCCCAAGCAATAGCAAACTGCTCCTTGGAGCGCTTTGCCAGGACGATGTACCCCATCACGTTGTGCATCGCAACCATGAACTGCTGCTTCGACCCTTTCATCTACTACTTCACATCAGAATCCTTCCAGAAGTCTTTCAACATAAAAACCCAGATCAAAATGGATTCTCTTTTCAAGACTGAAACACCCCTAACAAAGACTGCACTACCGGCACCCCAGGATGAAATAAGTGACCACGCTATTACGAATGGGGGAGATCCAACATCCGAGTCACATTTCTAGCCACGCACATGCACGTGGAGTTTTCGTCCATTCATTTCTTCATTAACATCATGTACAGAATAGTTGTTGTGCAGAATGTACATTCACACATGGTGCTACTGAAGGAAAGTTAAGGGGGGATAAGTGCACAAGTGGGCAAATGCTCACGCTGCGATTGCTCCATCAAGCATCTCCATCTGAGAACGTGAGATGTAATAATCCAGATGGGTCTCTTCAGAGAATATGGATGAGTGACAACATACACACCAACTAAGGAGGACCTGGAACAGATTCTTTAATCCCCAAATGCCGACATTTGGCATTTTTCCCCCCACCAGCATTTGACGTGGACCAGGTGGGAAATACAAAAAAAAAAAAAACCAACTTACAGATATCTGCCAATATTTCATATTTCCTGAAGATGAATCATCATATGTTAACTCAATAACTTCACACAATATGTATGTTTGCTTAAAAAGGTGTAATAAAAGCCTTGGCTTTTTCTTGTTTCACTGCAAGAGTATACATCCTGGTTTTACTAGGTACAGGCATTTAAAATGTATTTTTTGGTGAGGTTTGAAGTTTAAATAATTCTGTTATGAAAAGAAGGCAAAACAGCTGCTTGATGATGTAAAAGAAAATTAATAAGAGAATAATTAATGAAGCTATTTAGAAATGAGCTTCATTCTTGTACAATTAAGCTGCTTTTTATTTTAAGTGCCATCTCTGGGGAGAAGTACAGAGTGCATTATGGCTGTGTTGCACCTGGGCTTTTATATCCCAGGAGATTATGAGTGAATATTTCTGATAAGGGCTGGACGATAAAGTTAGCTGAAAGAAAGGGTCTGAAACCCCAGAATTGTTTGTAGGCGAAATCTGTTGTATAGAACTTGTGCACAAATGAGGGATGGAAGAAGCACACAGTGCTGATCCTGCTAAAGAACATGTTTGGATATAGATAACTGGTGTCTTATTAGCAGAATTAATTTTCTGCCAATTAGCAGAAGATCTTGCGAATGATTGTTTGCCTTTTTTTTTTTGCTACACAGTCAACTAATTAATAAAGCTAGGGGTCTGAAAGTAATTCCAAAAGATGAATAAGTAAAACAAGTTAGCTGCACTGTTCTCCTACTTAGTCATAGCAATGTGTTTTCTTGTTTTGCAATTAATTTATTACATCCTGCACTTCTTTTTATAGATTATATAAATATATATGTAAAGTTAACTGTCTGTATGCTGTTGCATTTTACTGAGTGGTTCATTCCTGCAGCCTTTGTGGGGCACAAATTATACTGACCTTAACTGGCTGGTTCATTCTTCAGTGTAACATATGTCAACGATATAACCAGTTGAACATGGAAAAGAATGATACTGCTTGTTAGATCAATGATATACAGTTTCTGCTGGGCAGCATAAAGTTGCTTTTAGGGCTCTATTGCCAATAACTGACAGATAAAACGTTAATGGAACAGACGCCTTCCACTCAGCAGCTTATCTTAATTCTTGCAGATCAAATTTCATGAAAGCTGCACCTCACATGCAATTACTTCTCCAAGCAATCAGTTTTTAAAGGTGTGAAAAGAACTCAGTTGTAAAAAATGCCATGCTTTGAAGGGAATATTTATGTAGCACTACTTTCACTTTGAATGAAAAAGTAATTTGCTTAACAAGCCTAGGGCGGGCCCTCAAGGTCAGTCTATTTTAGCTCTAAACCGAATGTGGTTATATAGTGCCTCGGTATTGCAGAGAACAAGTATATAAATAAATGCACTATCTGCAGGGAGAATTAGAGCAGCCAAAACATTAAATCTCAGCGCTGAGTTTCAGCTGCCTTCACTCCAAGCTTGCACAGGAGACTGCAGGAGACTATTTTTTGCAAACTCTGATACAAGCAGGGTTTCCCATAGGCAACGAACTCATGAAATACACACAGAATTTGGGACTTTCTGGGACAGGGCTGCTCTGGTGCAAACGAGAAGAGAACCAGCACAGCAAGGCCAGCAACAGGGCAGCAGCATCTCCTTTGCGAGGACCCTGGCAGACCTCCTGCTCCCCGCTCCGCAGACCTTCCTTGAGTTAAATTTGCAGAAAGAAAGAAAAACTCGCCCTAGAAACCACTGTCTCGCCTTCTTAAGGAAATGTTAAAAGCAAGGGGGGAAGCGCTCTGTGCGACTGGACGCGCTCCAGGCTGCGCAGACATAGCTTAACTGTAACCCCAGCATAATGGTTGTCTTCTTCTGCACAGAGCTAGTGCCAATGCTTACAAATTTCTGTTTGCAGTTTTATGGGGCAAGAGCTGTGGTTGATATTCGCGCATAAAATGTAACACTATCATCATGTGCCAGAATGCTAACTGAAAAGATTCATTATTTTGTAATTTAATACCTTATAAATTAGGTGGAGATCGTATGTTGACGGACACTCACATCTCCTAGGATAGTTCTTGACTAATCCTTTTCTAGGTCAGGTATAGCAAGTAAATGCTGCATGGTTTGTATATAAATAAGCAATTATGCATTCAGAGAGAGGAAAAGTAATTTTTCAGCTGTTGGTCAGGACAAGCTGGAAGGAGCAATGGTGGCAAATGAAAAGTGGATTCACAGATTTGCTGGCTTACGTGCAGACGAGTTGCTCTCCAGCCCTGTCCCACAAAGGGCTATTATCAGCCAAGGTGCAACCGGTGGCAGGAGGCTAAAATGCAAAAAAGAAAAAAAACAAATTAAGAAGTCATCAGTGCTTTTTTCCAGCTGCAGCTGGGTGACCCAACACAGCAGCCCTCTTGGATGCTCGGAATAAAGCAACGTTAACCAAAGATTTTGGCTGCTTCCTTCTCCCATTCCCCGCTTCTCCTTGGTGACTCCTTGGATGTCGGCTACCACCTCGCTTGGCAAAGCTCCTGCTGGAAAGGCCAAGCTTTTACACATGCACATCCCGACAAAACGCCCTTGCCAGTCTACAAGCTTCGTGGTAGCGGTTGTTATACAAAGAAGCAGGATCTTTTATTACGGTCACGAGGAAAGCGGGTTTTTCTTAGTGAAAGAACTGGATGGGCATCAGCAGAGCAGTGCCAAGGGCTCACGTGATAACATAATTCTCCCATCTTGGCAGAATTAGTGGGAATTACCCAGGCTCCAATCCTCCTCCTTTGCTGTGGTTTGCAAAGGCCAGGAGGAAGGAAGGTCACTGGTCGAGAGCTCCACGCATGAGGAGGAAGAGCTCCTGGCCAGAGAGGAAGGCTCTGCTCCTTGCCTGTCTCAGAGATCTGCTGAGGGGTCCAGCCTCTAGGTGCATCTAAAATCAGCCCCACGACATGTTTTGAGAGCCCTCTCAAAAGGGGTTTGGCAGGCGAGAGCTCTCCTGGCTTCTCAGAGCAGGGTTTGCTCCAAGAACAGAGAATCCAAAAGTGCCCATTTCAGTAGATCAATGGCATTTGTCAGCATTAATCTGTGAATAATCGCTTGCTGTTAAACAGGCCTATTTCATGGGAAGAGAAAGCAAAGCAGAGCACTATTTCCATTTTTCTTTGGAAAATGTCACATCACTTAAAAATAACATTCAGCTGCACTGGCGGTTCTTTCTAACTTCTTAAATTTCCCATCTCCTCTGTAGAAGCATCAGGAACCACAAACACCAGGGCAAAAAGGAGAGTCAGGTGGTTTCTCGTTAGGGTCAAGTAATTACATCATTTGTCTGTTTTCCCAAAATACTTGTGTGTCGAGTGCCTAAGAAAATCCTGTGCTAGTTTTTTCCTGCATGTGCGATTTTGACCAATGCAAACACTGCACCGAAGGTATCAACACGCGGGTTTTTTTTTGCACTGTTTGCTCTCTTATGTACGTGCGTGCATGTGCGTAATGAAAAAGGAAAGCTTTTTTTCTGGCAAAACAGTGTGAGTGAGTGTGCTCATTTATCCTCCCTTCTATAAATACACATATTAACTGGAATAATATTTAAATTGAAGGTTTTCTGTAGCCCTCTTGAGAAACTCTGACTACATCCATCGCACACAGAGAATTTCCTGGAAACCATAAGTATGGGAAAGTGGCCGTTCCCTCTTTGGTGTTTTATATGAAGACCCCCAGCTTGTCCTGCAGCACCGCTGTGCTCTGGCTTCCTGGCATCTCGCGGGGCTCTCTTTGCAGTCACTCACCAGCTCACCAGCAAAGCAGCATCCAAAAACCTCACAAGGCAGGTGAGGAGGCCACAGCATTGCCAAATAGTTTTGCATTTGCTAAACAAAACCAGCTGCACCAGGGCAAGCAGGGAAAGTGCTTCCCACACTGGTGTGCCACAGCTCAGTGCCACATCGGCACAGCAAGATGCCACTGCGAGGGTGCTTGTGCAGCACCGCTGTCACACCTTGCGCTGGAAGATGTTTCTACAAAGATCAGTCACATAAAAAGGGGAAAAAAATTGCTATCCTGTTGTAATGGTGGCTTCATGTCATTATTACATGACAAATTATAGTCTGCACTGTCACTGTATGTTACTGCCTTGAAAAGAACACGAGCAGTAAAGCACTCATACCTGGGAATAATGGGAAAGAAAATAATAAAAAAGACATGGAATAAAATCTTGCACAAGTGTAGGGCATGATTTAGCAAGGTCAGGCACTGGCCATGCTGCTCCAGGCACTGGGGTGAGGACTTTTAGCATGAGAATACTTCTGGGCATAAGCATCAACTTCAGTGCCCCAATATAGGGCATCTTTCACAAGGGCTACCCTGCCCTTTTCCTAACTTTCAGTCAATTCAGTCTCCTTATCTTCAGAGTGCTCAGTTGGCAGAATCTCATTTGCAAAGCAACTTCTTAACCCTTTCCTCACCCTGTATATATCACCATGAAGCTTTCCTGCACAGATGTGGCTTCATGTTGCTCTCCGCTGCCTATGCAATAAAAAAGCAGTCTTTGGTCATCACTAGTTTGCCCCGCTGCAGCTACAGGACCTTTTTGCAATGTAATTGTGCGAATTTGTAACCAGGACAAGGTGGAAATTGGGATTTTTGGTTTTTTTTTTTTTT